CCCCCCCCCCCCGTGTCATCCTAAAACTTCACATCGATGCCAGAGCTCAGACCCACGAGAAAATCCCCGTTTTCCACCCAAGTGCGACAAAAGGAAGCACCCACGTGTGACGCCACCTTTAGTGCTTCCCAAACAGCTCCTGAAAAAGCCTTTAAAAATACAATTTCTGGATGAGCTCTGCCGTCGGCCAGTGACGGGGACCTGGCTGGCCTGCCCCGCTCTGCTCGGCTGTAATCCCGAACAGGGCTCGGCTCTGGGGGGGTGATGCCTAAAGCGTTCTTGTTTAGCAAGATAAAAATTATCTTGCTAAGGGGGATAAAGTTAAACGAGTGCTGTTAAGCTTATAATTGCGATTGATTTGCAGTGTACCTAGGAGCAAAATTCATAGCCCCCTTTTTTTTCTTTATCGCATGTAAAAGAAGACTATACCTTATGTGAATGTAAGGGGCTTAGCTATCTCTCATAAAGCTGCTGGTGCAAATCAAAGGTGATGTTTGCTCTTGTTTTGGCACCTCGTAATGATTTCTTGGGATCCATACGGAAACAGAGATGAATCCCGATGAACCTGGAGCCGGCTCTGAACTGCAGTGTGCCCGGGGAGGTGTGATTCAGAGCGATGAGTAACTTTGGAGAAAGAGCTTCACCTTCCTCCCCAGCTCCTGGGCTGGATTTTCTGGCAGGAGGGGGGGGAACGTACGACAACCCTGCTTTTGTTGTGCTCTGACATGGGTTCAGCTCAGGGTTGGAAGTTCTGCAAGGGTTTTGGTTTGGTTTCTAAGTCATCTTGTTGGCAGGTCTCGGCGTTCCTCTCCCGTTCAGGCTGAGGGACCCTCACCGCTGGCTGCACGGCTTCAGCGGTGGAGGAGGGACGATGCCGGTCGGTCAGGCAGATGTGGCGACTGCTCTGGGATGTCGGCATTCACCGGGGTCGTGCTCCAGGTGGGGGGGGTCTCAGCGCTGAGCCGAAGGCTTCTGGCTCTGCCTACTGCCCCGGCACAAACTCCTCTGCTGGACACGGGCACCTTCGCGCTGGCGGGGGGCCGCTGGATAACGCCGGAGAGCGAGGCCTGAGTCGGTCGCGGGTACGAAGCAGGTCTGGGTTTGGGGCAGAGAGGTTGTTTCCGTCAAGGTTGGGATCTCTACCGCTTTCCGTTTCTCAAAGCACGGCGTCTCCAGGAGCGTGCGGCAGAGCCGAGCCACCACCTGGGAGAGGCAGCCAAAGCCCAGCCCTTGCCTCTCGGCCAGGTATTCAGGCGCTGGGTGCGTGAGAACAGCAGAAGTTGTCGGTGGGCTTGGTTTTGTAACACCTCCTTGGTGTTGGTTAGCCTTGGGTTGGGCTGGGATGGTTTTCTGCAGAAACATCTTGCTCTGCATTAGGGGCCGAGACCTCTTTGGCGCAGAGGGTGCGGGTGATCTGGCGGTGATGCGTTTAGCACCCATAGCTGTCCTCCAAAAGCACCCGAGCTTCCTAACAGTCAGTGTGGACACTCTGTTCTCTGTGTGGGTGAAGGTGTTTTAAAAGGCAGAGATTTGGATTTTGGACGTTGCTGTCTCTCCTGCTTTTCATTTTTCTTGTGTTGCTACTAGGAAAGCTCTTGGGCACTTTAAAAGAGGTGGGTTTGATCCCCTGGCAGTCTAATTCTTTAAAATTAATCTTTAGACCTTTTGCATGTAGTCAAAGTTATGTCTGTGATAAGGATGTGATTTAACTTGTGAAAGCAAGAGTAGTTTTTTTAATAAGATATTAAATCTGCGGTGTTGAACACAATGTTCTTTAAAACACAGTACTTGAAATTTGGCTCTCGCACTGGAATTTACTCTTCCAGAGCAAACCTTGTCCGATATGTGTTTATAGTAGTAGTGCTGATAGTGAAATAGCAGTGCCATCAAATGAAAAGTTTGAGAAGTACGTAGTTGGATTATCAAGTTTATCACGTTGAGGGTTATTTGGGATGGTCTTAGCTGCGGTCGGTTGGAGGGTGAAAAGCTGCTTAATGTACATCTAGATGTTATGCAGAAGTGTTAATCTTTAAACAGCCCTCCTTGCTCTGGGAATGTTTTATGAAAGTTTACTGAGGCATTGCATAAAAAAAAACTTTCATTCTTCTAGTTAAAATTGGAGACAAAGGTTTGGTCCGGCCAGTCCCGGAGGGCCGCCAGCACTCCGTGCCGGGGGAACCACGTGTCCCCACTTAGTGTCAGGTTGTAAATAGGTCAGGAGGGCACACCTCCATCCAACAGACTTAAGCTCTGAAGAGCAATGGTCGTGGGCAATGCTTAAATGTGTATAAGGATGCGGAGTGATTGCTGTCGGAGGGGAAGGAGAGTAGTATTGTAGAAATATAGAAATACGGCAAAACATTTGTTGAGGGA